CCACAAATTGTTTTTATATTTACTCTTCATCGATCTAAGGATACCCGGTCGCTTGGCTAGATTCATGAACTCACCTTTGGGAAAGAGTGCATGGCATGAACATCATTTTTGATGAGAATTTCAGTTGAATTTCAGAGTAATTGTCAAGGAATAGCAAAACCTTGCAGTTGTCCTTCCGTCCGGCTTCCTGGAGTAAGCACAAGCCCACAAGCAGCTGGTACAAAAGCTCACGAAACCAGTCAGAAAATGTGTCCCCGGTGACCCATGCCTCTCTCAAAGCGTAATAATGGACTGGTCAGAAGCTTTCTCCCGGCAAACAGCGAGGATGCACGCTTTTGGCCGTCACGGCAAGTCTGCACTTGTCTGCCTGCTGCGTTAGCAAATCCCACAGCTACGTCGTCCTTGGCAACCCCAGCCCCTGGAGGGAGGGGCCGCCCCCTCAGCTGCAGTCAGTGTCTTTCTGGGGCAGTCGCGTCAAAACAGCCATGCTCTGGTGATGCATCATAGACCTGTTCTGGCTTCAGATTTTCATCAGCGATGGCCTTGGCAGACTCTTTGATGAATTTCTCTGCTGCTTCACGATCAGCAGGTGCCTTATAACCACAAATCTTTGAGAATTTAATGCTGTATCTTTTCTTCAATTTCCTGCAACCAGACTGTTGAATGTGACTGTTGAACAGCCTCCTTTAATTTCGGTTCTCGATCCCATCCTGTTTCATAAGCAGCTCACCATGAAGTGGCAGGCTGACAGAGCCACTCTTTGAACGCACAATTGAGACCTTCGTCTTTAGTTTTATGCATTGCTTTTCTTTTCTTTTAAGTTAACTTCTGTTCATTGCTTGGAGCATAGAGTTTCAGCAGCGTATCCTGCTGTTCCTGCAGGTCGCATGGCGGTCCTTCCAACACCACACTCTTCCGAAAGATGCTCCCCACGTACCTGCTGTTCAGCCTCTCCAAGAGCTTGACTTTCTGTGCTACAGGTGAGCATAATGCTTCCTCTTTTTCTTATCGCTTGTTGCCTGCAGGGGTATTTGCAGTTCTTTTTGACATTTTCAACAAGATCTTTACACCACAGAGCAGAGAATAAGCAAAAAATCCCAGAGACCAAAACCCTGTAGGTCTTGGTCCCATGTGGGGCATCGTAAGGACCTGCAACTGGCACCTCCAGTCTGCACATGTGACATTCTGTCACCCTTTTTGGGTGTGCTTGCCTTGGGGAATCTAGTGTGTGCAGGACAGACATACTGCAGCTGGAGTGGGCTGAGAGGGTCTTTTTTCCCCGGGCATGTGAATAAGCTGTGCCGTGCCCCTGCATTTCAGCTGCAACCCCTCAGAGGAGGTCAGATGTGGAACTTTTCACTTACGGCATCATCTCAGTGCTCAAAAAGTCTCCGATTTGGGAGCATTTTGGATTTCCCATTAGGGATGCTCAAACTGCACTTGATATATCAGATTAAGTCTCTATGAGATAGTTTCAATAGTATTTATTTCCTCTTCTATCTCCTGTTTTTCCTTTTGTTATATTATAAATTCTTCATTGGCAAAGTTATAAAATTAAATCTACTCAGTGGATAAAGTTTTGTGGAAGTTTAGCCACAGTTCTGCCTTTACTTTTATATACCCTCAGCATTCAGTGTCTCTTTTCATCTCCTTCTGGCCTGGATTTCATGAAGTTGTTTAATCAAACTGAGCTCAGGGGAGCTGTCCTCGAAGGCCTTGGGTGTCAGAAAATATCCGTGTGGTGTTTTCACATGTGAACAATGATTTGACTGGGAGGATACTCTGTAGACACAGAGAAAATCTGAGGATTGTTCATTCATCCTTTGGTGTCAATTTAATTTAATTTAATTTAATTTAATTTAATTACTTTTTTCTTCCCTGGATGCTCTTAGGATTCTTTGTTCCTGAAACTCAGACGTTCCACCTGAATATTTTTGTTCTGTATAAATTTTTCTTGGTATATAATGTTCCCCCTCAATGTGCAGATTCAAGTTTTCTTTTATTTTGGCTTTATTTCATTCTATCTTTGCTTCTTTAATTCTTTCGGTTCTATTTATTCTCTTCTTCTTTGGGACTATCAAGTATGAGTACGTTGTGTCTTTTTTGCCTGCCTTCCAGATCTATTGTTTTCTCTTTAATCATTTTAGGTCTTTTCCCACTGCATTCTGCCCTCTCTCACACACTCCTGATGTTTTAGCAGCATCTAGTCATCTTTTCCTGACTTCTCTGTTCCCCAGTCTGGAGTGCAGTGACCCATTCATAGCCTACAGTCCTGGGCTCAAGCGATCCTCCTGCCTCAGCCTCCCAAGTAGCTGGGACTACAGGTGATTATCGGCGCACACCACCATGCCCAGCTAATTTTTTATTTTTATTTTTCGTAGAAACTGAGTCTCATTATGTTGCCCAGGCTGGTCTCAAACTCCTGGCCTCAAGCAATCCTCCTGCCTCAGGCTCCCAAAGGGCTGGGATTACAAGCGTGAACCACCGCATCTGGCCTTATTTCTCTACATTTTAAACTTTCTCTTCTATTTCTTTGTCTGAACCATAGCAGCTTATTATCATCATTATTATTATTTTGTCTCTTGTAGCCTACCATTCTTTGTATTTCTTCTTGCAGTCTTCGTTTCAAAGACATTGTGTTTTAAATTTTCTTTGGTATCAGGGAGAATATTTTATCCAAAATGTTTTTATTATCCTAGCACAGTCCTCGTTTGGGTGTGTGTCAGCCATTGCCTTCGTGGGTGACCATGTCCAGTGTCAGGTGGACGCAGGTGTATAAAGGTCCAGCGGTTTGGACTGAAGCAGAACCACTCTGAGGGGCCATCTAACTCCGTGCTGCCCCTCCTCTGCCAGCAGGTCACCTGCTGCCACCGCGTGAACCCCACATGCCCCCACCTGTGCATCCTGCCCCCACCTGTGCCCCCTGCCCCCACCTGTGCCCCCTGCCCCCACCTGTGCCCCCTGCCCCCACCTGTGCCCCCTGCCCCCACCTGTGCATCCTGCCCCCACCTGTGCCCCCTGCCCCCACCTGTGCCCCCTGTCCCCACCACCCTCTCTCACCTTCCGCTCACGGCTGAGGTTTCAGGCCCTCCGCCCCACCATCTCCCTCTCTCCTTAACCTCATGCATCTGGACCCTTCTTTCCCATTTAAAAAAAAATCTTTATGGAAACCACTCTCTTTGGGCTGACCAATGACCCCCCACCTTTCGCCACACCTGGCTATTTCTTCTCATTGCCACTGGCTTCCCTGCTCCCCACCTGGGCACCGTCAGCAAGCGGGGGGCTTCCTTGAACTCTTGCCTTTGTCTGTGTCGGTCCAGCCTGAGTCTGCCCTGGAGGCCACGTGCCCTTCACCTTGGCTGCTGCCACCGGCTGCTCCTCCTGCTCAGCGCGTGCACTGCTGCTCCATGGGGTCCGCACTGGCCCTCGCCTCCCCTCCCCTCTCCCCTGTCTCCTCTCTTCCTCTCCCTCTGCTCCCCTCTCCTCATCTCCTCTGCTCCCCTCTGGGCCTCTCGAGAGCCCATCTGTTCATTTCTCAGGAGCCCACCTGTTCATTTCTCAGGAGCCCACCTGTTCATTTCTCAGGAGCCCACCTGTTCATTTCTCAGGAGCCCACCTGTTCATTTCTCAGGAGCCCACCTGTTCATTTCCCAGGAGCCCACCTGTTCATTTCCCAGGAGCCCACCTGTTCATTTCCCAGGAGCCCACCTGTTCATTTCTCAGGAGCCCACCTGTTCATTTCTCTGCACCTCGGGCCTGGACTCTGGTGAGCCACACCACGTGTCCCTCTGTCTTCCTCTCTAACTCTGCACCCCTTGTCACCCACCCGACTACCACCCAATCAGGCCTCCCCATCTCCGTTTCTGTCTGGTTTCTCCCGGCGGGCGGAGTCCCTGCCTCTGCCCTCACCTCAGCCCTCGGTCACCGGCAGTGGCTCGCTCACGCTGAGGGTCTTGTCACCATGTTTAACTCACCGACGCCCCTTCCCTTCACACAGCTGCCCACGCTGGCCCAGGCCCGGGTCCCACGGAGACCTTACCCTTGGGGCCTCCCTCGCCTGGTCCTCCGCCCGCCCCCACCCACTCGGGGCTCCAGCGCCGTTCTGGGGGGTGCCGCCCCTTAGAACACCGCCTGGCAACACTCGGTACGTGTCAGGGCCTCCCGGCCCCACTCTGGGACAGGGCAGAGTCACGCCCAGGCCACTCTGAGACACGAGGACCTGCCCGATTGCTCCCCACTCGCTCCGGCATCTAGCGCCGGCCTCTCTGCTGCCCACTGCCGGCCAGGCGCCCGCGCCTCCCGCCGTCCTGCGCTCCCGCTGAGCCGCAGCCTCCCGCCCGAGCTGCAGCCTCCTGCCGAGCCGCCTCCCCCTGTCACCAGCCACCCGCAGGTGCCTCAAGGTCGGCTCTCCCAGGTTCAAGGTCGGCTCTCCCAGCAGCCTTGGGGAACCCTCCACCTGGGTGTGCAGGAAAGATCACCTGGATGAGTCACCTGGCAATGACGCAGTGCTGACTTGGCACCGCCTAATCCTTGGCTGGATCGTCATTAATCTTGTCTCGGTTATTTAAATATTCACATCTGCGTCTTGTCTCTCCTGTAGACTGCCAACGTCTCCGGGGTGGGGACACGTCTGCTGCGTGTTCCGTGTCCACAGAAATTCCTTCCACATGACGTGTGCGTCTGTTGGATGCCCCGAGAGCAGCAGGAGGAGACGCTGCATGTGGCCGGGACGTCTCGAGTTGGGCCAGAGGGGACGGGGACTGGGGCTGGGTCCACATGTGCATTTAGAGGATGGCTGGGCCGGCCACTCCGCTGCTCGCTGCCCGGGATTTGTTACCCGCGGCTGCCGTGGGCCTGAAGTCAAGCCAGGCATGTGTGACACAGCGCTCTGTGAAGCAGAAGGCATCGGACAAGTATAGAACAGGAAGATGTTAAGCTCAATTGACGCAATTGCCCAAAATAAAATCAGCTAAGAGTGTCAGGGATGAGCCATGGAACTTTTAATAATCACCATATTTTAGGTCTGTGGCTTTATGCTTTGTATTAAAATGGCATCGAGTTAGGGATACAGGAGTCAAAAATTTTAATTCGCCGTTATTGACGTAAGGGTCCTCGATCACTTTAGGGGGGCCCTGTGTAGCAAAGAGCCTAGGGGAATATTCAGTCTTTTTTTTAAACAGCAGCATTATTCCCTTTGTGGTGTCTACAAAATAAGAAGGTTGCAGCCAAGTGTCTTCAGTGTTCTGGCGGGTCACACCGGCCCGTCCGGGCTTTTTCTTTTGTCTGCTAAAGTAGAGGAAGAAGCCCGTCCTCTGTGAGTCTGTGACCCTCAGGCTCCGCTGGAACTCCGTCCTTGGAGTCCTTCTGACCTGCCTGCTGGGGTGCCCACGGCTCCGAGCGCCTGTCGGGACGTGCTGACCGCCGTCTGCCCCGCACCGATGAGTCCTGGTCTTTGTGGGGCTGGAGGAACTTCCAGGGCAGCCGCCGCGTGGGGCTGGCTGTCTTCTCCACGGCGCTTAGCTCAGCGCCCGGTGCGGGGCAGGTGCTGGGCTGTGTCCAGACCCCTCTTTCCCCTCATTTATCCTCCTAACCGGCTTGTGTGGGAGCTCATCTTCACAGTGCCCAGTGTTTGGCCCTGGAAGGCCAAGTGCAGCAGATCAGGCAAACCCGCCCCTCCCAGGACCGGGGTCCTGGCACACCTGCCGAGGAAACAGCCTGACCTGCATGGGGCTGGGCTCGAAGGCCAGGGATGAAAGCCACCTGCGTCTCAGAACTGTCCCCTGTAGGAGACAAATGTCTAACAGCATCTGAATCCCATCTTCCCTCCCAATGTCCTTGTGACAATGCATTTGTGATGCTCTGCTAATGCTTCCCAGGTGCTCAGAGAGGGCAGAGTCAAAACTGTGTTTGCTGAAGATGAGAAGTGACATAAACACCACCGCTGTGTCCTGGTGACTGGCAGACACTCACCCTACTGCAGACCCCCCACTTGCTCACCCGGTAAGCGGAGCTCCCTCTCCTGGAGCCAAGCCTCCCGCTTACTCCTGGCCGCAGGCTCGGTGCCAGAGTGAAATCCCCAGGTGAGAGGTGCTGACTCCCAGGTACTCTGATCCCCACCGTTGGACTCACCGTGCGGGTTTCCAGTTTTCCTGCTATCAAAGAAGAACAACGGTCAATGCAACCCAAATAAATCTCAGGGCTCCGGGCGGCGCAGTCTCTGTATATAGCGAGATGAAATTGCAATCTGATTCCAGACACCTTACGATACAGTGTATCTTTCGAGAGCATTTTTAAATGAGAGAATAGCAGAGGTCAGGAATGTCTCCTCCCTCCCTTCCCGGTTCTCAGGGAGCGTCTGTGAACAAAGCCGGGCTTGGGGGCCGGATCCTGGCTTGCAGATGGGCACGCTGTGCCCTGAGCGTAGCAGAATCTCTCAGAAGTGCAGGGCCGGCCCCCGCCCTGGGCCGGGGCGAGTCATCCCCCTGCCAGCGCCTGTTTCACTTTGTGCATAAGGACAGGGAAGTGGGGCGGGCGGAGAGCCAAGAGACCCCTTTAAAACTCAGTTTCCCTGGGCTTGGGGCCATGTTTTGGGCTCTAACGCCCCAGTCTTGCCATAACGTTGTAATGTCGGTTGCTGACTTGGAACTTGTCTGTCGTCCTGGTTTGGGTTTCCCTGAAGGCAGGTCCCGAGACAAGACTCAGGTGCAGGCGGTTTATGGGGGGTGGGGGATCGGGGAACCGAGACAGGAAACAAAGAACAGGCAAAATGCGTGAGTGAAAGAGAGATTTTTCTGCGGGCGACCGTGACTGCCCCTCTGGGGACTTTCTGAAGGACTGTGTAGGACTCACCTGGAAATTGTCTCCCAGAGGGATTAGGATTCGCGGGCACTCGTCACTCTGGGCCAGAGGACGACCCAGGCAGAGACGCAGGAAGGGCTGGCGTGACGGCACTCCCCGGTGACCTGTGGGGGAGGGGCGCCTATGCCAAGAGCGTCCGCCACCCCGTCTCTGCCACCAGACTCCGAGTTCTCAGTCAGTCCTGCCCACAGTTCTACTCTCAGGACCTACCTGTGGGCTTGGCCCCAGTATTAAGAAAGGAATGAATGAGCGGATGGATGAGCTCTTTCCATAGCCTCTCGTGAAGGAGGGTCCCAGAAGGAGGAGAAGGGCTGGAGAAGGGGCCAAGAGGCCCAGAGATGGTGGTTGTCTCCAGTTCCAGCTAGAGGCGTAGCCCCCAGGGTAGCAGGGGGAGGACAGAGCAGGGAATGGCACGGGAAGGGAGGGCTGGTGTCCCCGGGGGTCTGGGGGCCCAAGCCCCTTAGGCAGGGCAAGGACAGAGTGCCACCTTGGGCTGCAGGGAACAGCACCGTGGTGTGGTCTTGTCCCAGCCCAGGCTGGAGACTCCCTGTCTCCCCTGCTGGGGAGCCGGATGGGAGTGTGGCCACAGCGCTGTGATGAAGTAAGAGTGGCCAGGACTGAAGCATCGCAGTGGAGCTGTCCCGTCCCCAGGTTACGAGTGTCACTGCTGTGCCAGCCACTCTGGGAGTGTTCGGGAGGACTTGGGGGTGCAGGCTGGGCAGACGGCAGGGCCACCGGGCCCACTGGGTATCCTTGACCGCGCAGCAGGAAGCATGAGCGTAAGTTTCCTACGTGTTTGGGAGAGGTTCTGGTGGGAGTGGGTGGGTGCTGGGCGCCATGCAGAACCACACCTGCTTCTGCTCCTTACCGTGTGACTTGGGGCAAGTGAACTTCCTTCTCTGTGCTGTGTCTTGCTCATCTGTAAAATGCAGACGATCGTAATACCACCCTCTTAGAATTCCTGTGAGAATTAAATGAGTTAGCATATGGAAGACACTTAGTGACTGGGACTTAGGGAACTGTCGATACATAGCTGCTTTGGTTGTGATCTACAGTGGCCACGTGGGCAGCCATTCTTGTCCTCTGTGACCAGCAACCAGGCTTCAGGTAGGAAAATAGAAAACTTCCCAGGTGTTTCAAACAGAGGGATTTAATACAGGGTATTTGTTGAGCAGGTGTTGGGATCCTGAGAGGCCGAACAGGGAACAGCGAGTCAGCCGCAGTCCTCCAGGAAGTGGATGTCAGGGCGGGAGCTAACGGGCCACAGATCTGCTGGGGAAGTGCCAGGAAGACCGGTGGGGGCAGGGAGCCCCTCCAAGACACTGCGCAGGCCTGACGCTGTGACACAGGGGAGGAGGAGTGTGTGGCTGCGGCATTGTTCTGAGACAACCTGGCTGTGGCGTGGGGTCCCCAAGCCAGAGTCTCCTGTCCGAGGAAGGCGGTGTCCCACGGACAGGGTCCAGGGAGGCGTGGCCTGGTCACATGTGTAGTGGCGGGTCCAGGGGGTGCAGCCGGGTCGTCAATCAGCTCTGCTCCCCGCCCGGGAGATCTGAGCAGCGCAGGCCCATGGCTCCCACCGTGAGGCCACCAGAGCTTGGCATCAGCAGGGAGACACTGTCACCCAGGCCTAAGGGACCGGGAGGCGGTGGCCCCCTGGTGGGGGACCTCGGTGGAGCCCGGGCACCAACATAGCAGGAGGAGCCCCCGTCTCCCCTCTTCCCTCCCGCAGCCAGCCAGGGCTGCCCATGTGTGTGCAGGTTCATGGCGTGTGGGAAACCCTGGGGGGCCGGGGTGACGTGGGAGACAGCCAGGGCCGGCCGGAGAGGACACCGTCGGGCGAGACCAGGTTCGCAGAGGCGGAGCACGCAGTACCCTCGGCGAGGCGGCCCGACAGCACCGGCACCCGCTGCGGCTCCTCCTCCCTGCGCCGCCCTGCCCCTCGGCACACCCCCTCCTGTCTTTCCCTCCCCTCGTTCTGGGACTTGCTTGGGGGACGTCTTTCTCTGAAGGAAGAGCTCCGGCGGCTCTCCAGGTGAGGTTTGGCTCCGGGCTGCTTGGAGGTCAGCGCGTCCTCCGGGCCGCCTTCTGCTGCCCAGGCCTCTGCCCAGACGTGCGGGGACCGGCTCCTCCCAGCCCAGCCTCTGCGCCACCCACACCCGCACACACCCGGCCAGTCCCCAAAGGGGCAAGAGCAGGCTGCGCCCGGCTCCCCAACTCCCCGCCTGCGCCCACACACACCCCCTCCGCCTGCTGAAGGTGGGGCCCATGGCCCGCCCTGGAGGCGCCCACCTGTGAGCCGCAGGTGGCAGGCAGGTGGCAGGTGGAGGTGAGGAGCCCCTGGGCGAACAAGCCAGTCTGACAACACAGCGCCCTCCAGCCCTCAGGTCGGCCGGCCGCTCACTCACCGCCCGGAAAGATCAGTTTTCCAGCCGCATGTCCCCAAACCGCACAGCCGGTCGGGCTCCTGTGTGTTTGCAACTTGCCCCCTCCCTCTGTCACCTCCTGGGGCAGACGAGCTGTTGCAGGAACCGGGACCCACACGAGGCCAACGTGGGCGGGAGAGAGCTGGGACGTGGCTAGACTGTCACTCTTTAGCTTTTCAAGATTCGCCAGCTCTTGAAACGGTGTTCGCAGAAGTCGCCCACGCTCGGCCTCAGCCTGGAGGCCGGGACAGCGCGCAGGGCCACCCGCCTCCACCGTCCCGCAGTTCTCGCGGCCATGGTCTAGCCGCTGCAGAAGAGACCGATAGTGGGGGCGCTGGGAGCTCCTTCCCGCCTCGTCCCCTTCCGGGGAAGGGCGCGGGCTTCGCAGGGAGCGGAATGGCTGGAGATGCCGAGTCCACGGAGGTCCACGGAAACAGAACCGTGGCTCTTGTTCGGAAGAGAGAGGATTTCTGTTTCCTTTTGGGTACAGCGAAAATAGCTTGTTCGTTCCAAAAACAGCACCACCAATGACTGCTCAGACTTCCTTCTTAAAGAGAAACAAACACTTTCACTGCGGACCAGTGTTGGGATCCAAACCCTCTTCTGCCACCCCCGTCTCCCGGCTGTCAACCTTTCTGTACAAAAGGGGCTTCTCTGGGGCCCAGCGGGCTCTGTGTGCATTTCCAGGAGGACAGCGGGGCCGTCCCCATCGCTGGGGCATCTGGTGACGCCTGCGGGGCTGGCAAGGGGGGAGCTGCTCAGAAGGGTCCTCTGCCCTCAGCCCCCCTTGGCCTCCGTCCCTGCTCCCCGCCTGCGCCCTGGCTGGATGCGCAGTCCCGCCACTGCAGGGTTAATGGCCACATGGGCGGCCGGGAAGGGCCCACAAGCCTGAGCCTTTCCAGCACCTGGGTGGACATCGGGTTGAAGTCGCTTCTCACCAAACCTGTGCAGGGCGCGGCTCCAGAGAAGTGGTGGGATCGAGGCGGTTCCCACGGGCAACGATAAGGGCAGGGTGTTCGCACGCTCCCGCCACCCTGCGTCCCCGAGCGATACGCTGCACACGCCCTGGCGGAGGCAGCCCCTTCCTGCCCACGCCGTGTGCAGTGAGGGCAAGACAGGACAAAGCTCCATGTCTGCAGTCTGCACACACACTCAAACACACGCATACAGTCACATACATGCATTTACACATGCACACACCTCCACACCCACACACAGGTGTGCATACCCACTCAAACACACGCATGCACACATTTCTATACACACAGGCATGCACACATGCTCAAACACACACATACAGTCACATACACGCATTTATGCATGACACCCTCACACTCAACAAGGTTGTGCATACCATCAAACACACGCATGCACACATTTCTATACACACAGGCATGCACACATGCTCAAACACACACATACAGTCACATACACGCATTTATGCATGCACACACCTCCACACTCACACAGGTGTGCATGCCCACTCAAACACATGCATGCACACATTTCTATACACACAGGCATGCACACATGCTCAAACACATGCATATACAGATGCACACATTTCTATATGCACAGGTGTGCACACACGCTGAAATACATGCATACAATTACATACACGCATACACACATACACACACCTCCACACCCACACACAGGTGTGCATACACGCTCAAACACATGTGTATACACATGCACATACTTCTACACACACAGGCATGCACACATGCTCACATACACATACACAGATGCACACTTCTATATGCACAGGCGTGCACACACACTGAAATACATGAATACAATCACATACAAGCATACACACATACACACCCACACACAAGTGTGCATACATGCTCAAACACATGCATACACACATGCACACACTTCTACACACATAGGCATACACACATGCTCAAACACATGCATACACACACGCACACACTTCTACACACACAGGTGTGCACACACGCATGCACACACATGTGCACACCTCCACACCCACACCGTGGGCGGTCCCCAGACCCTGGGGAGAGGCAGCGCCCACGGAAGTGTGTCTGAGCTCCGGTGTGGGCACCGGCTTCTAGAAGGGTCTCTGCTTGAGGGGCCCTGGGAGGCAGGAGGATTCGAGTTTCTTCTCCACTTGCAACTTTGCAGGTGGGGGAAGGAGGGCTGTCTGGGGACCGTGTGCCGTGTGCGTGTGTCGATGGGAGGGCCCTGCCACGCCAGGTGGCGGCAGGGGCTGGGCTGGGAGGCTCCTCCCTTCGGGTCTCTGTGGCGGCCGTGGGGGTACCTGGGCAGCTCTGGGAGGAAACGGGGCTGGAAGGTGACCTCAGCTGGGCCCAGGGGACGCCAGGGGCCCCGCAGAAGAGGGCCGTGGCCGTGGACGTGGCCGTGGACGTGGAGTGCAGCGAAGGGCTTCATCAGGGGCCGAGTGGGCCTCACAGAGAGGATGCCGTGGGAGGAGCCGGAAGAACGAATGTGCTGCACGCCTCTGTCCCCCGCTGTCCCCTAACGTCTGCCACCCTGCCAAGGATGCCAGCGCTGGAGCAGGGCAGGGAGGAGGCGGGTAGAGAGCAGGTCTCCAAGGCCAGCAATGAGAGCTGGTGCAGGGGTGAGGCGTGGGGGGCCCTGGGAGCTTCTCTGAGTAAGCGAGATGCCGCGCCAGGGCAAGCCAGGCCGTCAGAGCTGCAGGAGACCCCGGGCAGTGGCGCGGCAGGGGCAGCAGGGGAGAGGGGCGGCGGGCAGCGGGCTCTCGGGAGCCAGAGAACAGCTGCTCGCGGGGCCCAGTGTGTGCCCAGCCCTCCCCCCGGCCTGCAACTCCAGGAGCTCTGCCTGGTCCTGGGGCAGGTGTGGCCAGAGCAGGTATCACTAAGCGGATGAGGCAGGAGTTGAGACGCAGGACCTCATGCCCAGGCTGCGTGTCCCCGACCACGGCCCAGGCTCAGAGCTCCTGGCTCCGGTCCGAGGCACAGGAGGGGCTGCCGGTTCCCTCCGCCCCACAGCCTGGGTGGGGCCGCAGCCTCCTGCCCATGCACTGCTCCGGAACCATTTCTGGGCTTGGGGGCAGGGCTCCTGACGCTGCAGGTCTGCTGGGACTCCCCCCAGAGGGGGAGGGTCGTAAGAATCCCGGACTCTGCTCCCAGCCCCACTGCCTGGGCCTTCCGCCCACTGTGCCTCTGGCTGTGCTGGCCACCCCTGGGCTGCTCGAGGCGGTGGGGCTCAAGGCTCAGGGGGGTCCCAGCAGTCTCTGTCCACAGGGCCCGGCTGCCTGCCCCTCACCCCTGCCCAGCTTGGGTGGCTGAGGTTCTGGGAAGCCCTTGCAGGCTCCCTCCCTTCCAACCTCACCCAGGGTGTGGCCAAAGCACAGACTGTGGGCCGAGTGACCTCGGGTGGCATCTCTGGTCCCGCAGGCCAGCCCACGGCTCACGCTGAAGCACACCCAGGCTGGCAGCTCCTCCTGGTCCCACACGGAGACTCTGAGCATGGCAGAGACCCTTCCAGGAGACTCTGGGGGCACCCCTGTGAGCCCCCCACCCCGGCCCATCTGTCCGAGACCCTCCACATGCGCAGGCGTCACCCCCAGGCGAGGCTACCCGCTCCCACCCAGGCCCCAGCTGGGACGGGGCAGCCACTTAGCAAGAACGCAGGACAATACCAGATTGTTTTAATTACTACAGCTTTGCAGTATAGTTTGCTATCTGGCATATTAATGCCTCCCATTTTGTTTTTGTTGCCTAGAATTGCTTTTGATATTCGGGGTCTTCTTTGGTTCCATACGAAGTGTAAAATTATTTTTTTCTATATCTGTGAAGAATGCTGATGGGATTTTAATAGGTATTGCATTGAATCTGTAGATCAGTTTGGGGAAGCAGCCCAAGTGCCCATCAATCCAAGAATGGATTAATAAAATGTGGTATATGTATACCATGGAGTACTATTCAGCTCTAAGAAACAATGGTGATATAGCACATCTCATATTTTCCTGGTTAGAGCTGGAACCCATACTACTAAGTGAAGTATCCCAAGAATGGAAAAACAAGCACCACATATACCCACCAGCAAACTGGTATTAACTGAGCAGCACCTAAGTGGACACATAGGTACTGCAGTAATAGGGTATTGGGCAGGGGGGCGGGGGGTGGGTATATACATACATAATGAGTGAGATGTGCACCGTCTGGGGGATGGTCATGCTGGAGACTCAGACTTGTGGGGGGAGGGGGAAAGGGCATTTATTGAAACCTTAAAATCTGTACCCCCATAATATGCTGAAATAAAAAAAAAAGAAAACACTAAGGAAAACAGTACAAATGCAAAAAAATAAAAAAAAAAAAGAGCACAGGACAATCATGCATAAAATATTCATCCCATTATTTGCCTAACGAATTAACTTAGCTCTTCATGAAAAATAAACGGAATCAATTTTATTTATCATGTGCAGGAAGGTCACA